CACCGGGCCAACACTCTATCCAAATTGTTCAAACACTCGTCAAATGAATCACCCACAACACTGAAGTCGTCCATGAACACCTCCAAAATATCTTCCACCATATCGGTGAAAATGGCCATCATACACCGTTGGAATGTTGCCGGTGCATTGCACAACCCAAAGGGCATCCGAGAGAAAGCAAAGGTGCCATATGGACAAGTAAAGGTTGTCTTCTCCTGATCCTCGGGAGCTATCAAAATTTGATTGTACCCTGAATATCCATCCAAGAAACAATAGAAGGCACGCCCAGCAAGACGATCAAGTATCTGGTCAAAGAAAGGCAATGGGAAGTGATCCTTGCGGGTCACCTTGTCAGCTTGCGGTAGTCCATGCACACCCTCCATCCGGTCACTGTCCGAGTTGGAATAAGCTCATTATTAGCATTGGTCACCACGATCGATAATTTCAAGGATTCACTACCTTCGAAAAGTCCTTGATATACCACCCTTCTTCGGCACACACTGCACCGGTGAAGTCCATGAGCTGTCAGAGATAGGATACACCACGCCGGCATCTAACCACTTGATCACCTCCTTTTTCACAACTTCTTGCATTGCCTCGTTCAGCCTCCTTTGATGTTCCAAGGAGGGTTTTGCATCATCTTCCAGAATAATCTTGTGCATACAGAATGCGGGGCTTATTCCCTGAATATCAGCTAAAGTCCATCCAATTGCCTTTTTCCGCTTTTTGAGCACCGCCAATGTGGCATCTACCTGCATGTTAGTAAGACAAGAGGAAAGAATAACTGGTAAAGTTGAATTAGGGCCTAAGAATTCATACCTGAGGTGTGGAGGCAATGGCTTCAACTCCAACACCGGAGGTTCCTCAATTGAAGGCTTTATTGGAGGGGTCTTTCTATTTTCAAGATCCAAAGAGAGTTTCCTAGGCTCATAAGAATAAGAGCCCATTCCATGTAAAGCATTCACGCACTCCACTCGACCCTCATCATTTTTGACATCAAGATTCAACAATACGGCCTCCAAAGGGTCCTCCACATTGATCATTGCACTGGTATCATCAATTATCACAGCCGTGACAAGATCCACAAATGAACACACTTCTGTACAATTGGGCTGCTTCATTGACTTGCACACATGAAAAACGGCCTTTTCATCACCCACCCTGAAAGTGAGTTCCGCTGCTTCCACATCCACTAGGGCCTTCCCCGTAGCAAGGAAAGGTCTCCCTAATATGATCGTGACCTCATAATCTACCTCACAATCCAAGATCACAAAATCAGCTGGCAAGATAAATTTGTCCACCCGGACGAGCACATCATCAACAATACCCAATGGTCGCTTCATTGATCTGTCTGCCATTTGCAATCGCATGGAAGTTGGCCTTGGAGGCCCAATACCCAAAGTCTTGAAAACTGAGTAGGGTATTAAGTTGATGATTGCCCCTAGATCACATAAAGCTTTAGCAAAGTCTGCACTCCCTATAGTGCAAGGGATAGTGAAAGCACCGGGATCCTCTAACTTCGGAGCCATTAAATGTACTATAGCACTAACTTGGTGGGTCATCTTGATAGTTTCACAGTCCATGGATCTTTCTTTGTCACCAAATCTTTCATGAATTTAGCATAGCCAGGCATCTGCTCTAAAGCATCTACCGAGGGAACATTAATGGATAAGCTCTTAATCATGCCAATGAACTTTTTGAATTGATTCTCATTTTTCTGCTTGACTAGCCTCTGAGGATAAGGGGGAGGTGGCCTAGGCAAGGGTGCCTTAGCTTTTGGCACAACCGACTCCGGCATGTCAATTACGTGCTCCCTAGACGGGTTCACATCATTTTGCAGTTCCACCTCAACATCTTGAATCACTTCTTTATTCACATGCTCATCAACCACATTCTCAAACACCAAAGGAACTTCATCTTCTTGCAACTCAACTTCATCACCCAAAACTTGCTTTTGTTTGGAGGCATTCACATCACCGCCTCGTCAACTCCAAGTAGTCACAGCCATAACATGATTGTTCCCGCCCTTCGGGTTCACTACCGTATCACTTGGTAGAGCACCCTTAGGGCGTGTATTTAAAAACTGAGAGATTTGGCCTAGTTGCACCTCCAAATTTCTAATGGAAGTATTGTGAGAAGCCAATTGAGCATCCGAATCCGCATTCTTCTTCATCATTTGTTCGAACATCATTTCAATTCTACCCATATCATTGCTAGAAGAAGTAGGACCCTGGGATGGAAAAGGTGGTGGGTTGTTCGGTTGTTGGTACATTGGGGGCCTTTGAAAACCTTGCCCCTAATTTCCCTGATTGTTGTTCCATCCACCCTGGTTGTTATTGTTGCCCTAGTTTCCTTGATTGCTCCGATTGTTGTTTTGATTTCCCCAATTCGAATTTTGATTATTGTTTCCCCAATTGTTATTCCCTTGTTGGTGATTATTCCAATTGTTGTTGCCTTGTTGTTGATTGCCCCAATTACCCTGGGATCGCCATTGTTGTTGTTGGTTGGAAGAATTGCCTCTTTGGCCTTGATAATTATTCACATATTGCACCTCTTCATTCTGCCCATCATAACAATCATCTTGGAATCCACCACAACCATTGTCAAATTGATCCAAATTCCCTGGGTTCAGTTGACCTCTCTGTCTTCTATTGTTCACAAGCATGTTAACACCCTCCATGGCATTTACTTGGCGAGGATTTTGAACTTGTTGCAACTATGCCTTTGCTAATTGGTTCATTGTTGTTGTAAGTTCTGCTATAGCCTGACCATGGTCGTGTATTTCTTTGTGCAAATGAGTGACCGTGGGGTCACCCTGTGGCACATTGGCTCTACTTTGCCAAGCAGAGGATGTGTCAGCCATTTCATCCAGAATAGCACAAGCTTCATCATAAGGCAGCTTCATGAAATTTCCCCCAGCCAATTGATTCACTATGCAGTGATTCGTTGTATTGCTGCCCTGATAGAAGGTCTGTTGTATCATTGCCTCTGTCATATCATTGTTGGGGCATTCCTTCACCATAGTTCTATATAGCTCCCAAATCTCGTGCAATGGTTCAGTAGGTTCCTGCTTGAAGGCTAAGATCTCATCCCGTAGTGCTGCCATGTGCCCTGGTGAGAAAAATTTGGCAATGAACTTATCCGCCAACTCATCCCAAGTTGTGATGGAATGGTTGGGGAGTCGCTCAAGCAAATCCAATGCTTTTCCTCTAAGTGAGAATGGGAAAAGCCTCAATCGAAGTGCATCCTCGGACACATTGGTTTGCTTGCTCCCCCAACAGGTATCCACGAACCCCTTGAGATGTTTGTAAGCATTCTGAGTGGCAGCGTCCGTGAAGTACCCACGCTGCTCCAGCAATGTCAGCATCACATTGGTTATTTGAAAATTGCCCGCCCGGATCCGGGGCGGAACAATCGCACTTGCATAGCCTTGGTTGGGAAGAACTCTAGGAGCCACTCTTGGAGGTGGCGGAGGAGGGTCTGGGACGTTCTTATTTGCATTGGCCTGGCGGCCTCTACGTTGTCCTTGAGGTACAAGAGGCACCTCATCCTCTCCAATGTCATCTACCTCCTCCCCCGCATTCACATTTCCAAGAGGGTCATTAGCATTTAATGCCATTTTGTACCTGATGTATTGACACAAACAAATTAGTAACAAAGAAGGAAAGAAGAACAAAGCACAAATCTATTTAGATGGATAGCCAAAACCGTTAGCTCCCCGACAACGGCGCCAAAAAGTGATCGCGGCCTACTCTGCACTACTAATTAAGTAGCGAGAGAGGGTAGGAGCAGCTTTTACCCGATTTGGGTCGGGATCCATATCCACAGAGAGCTAGAATTTGGAATCGAGTATCTATCTAGTGTAGAGTTGCGTATGTGTTCCAAATTACGCTTCTAAACATTTTTGGGGTTTTTGTTTAACTTATACTATTTATCAAACTACAAATGGTAAATGCAACTAAATTAAGCTAAGAGTTATAATGCTACGGGTTGTTCAAATGGTTTAAAAGGCACTAGGGTAGTGACTTCCGCATAGGTGGTCAATAAACGGGTACTTGAGTCTAGGGCACGTTTGACATATTTGGGGAGTATGATATAACCGTTGCACGACTTTACCCACTCTACACCTCTCGCTGGTTTGAGTGATTTTGCCCGAATTGACTTTCTCAAGACCAATTGGGTATGCAAATTTGCACAAGCAACTAGGGTTCAAGTCAGGTATTACTCTCTCGAGGTTTAACCCTATAATTGGGGCTATCAATCTCTTGAGTACGCCCCAATTCCTAAGATAAATTAGAAGATTCAATGTTAAAATGAAGATAAAATTGCCCAAAATAGCTAAGAAAACCGAAGTCACGAGCGCAGCTCCCAGTTAAATCTATCTGCTTTACCTAAAAATGGAAAAGAAGCTATTTATACTAAGCTGATAATTCTGGACAAAAATGCCCCTGCGGGGTTAGTGCGGACCGCACAAAATGGACTGTGGTCCACACTAGGGCTTTGGACTTGACAAAACTGCTCTCTGAACTTGGACACCGTGGACCGCATTGGCTTGCTACTTGGAATTTGCAGCTCTCTGATTCTCCTCATTGCGGACCGCAGAGAATGGACTGCGGCCGCGTTGATCTCAGTGCGGACCGCACAAAATCCTAGTGCGGCCGCACTGCCTCTTTGCCTGAAAATCAACCTCTCTGAATCTCCTTGTGCGGACAACACAGAATGGTGTGCGGCCGCATTGGGACTGTTCTGCCTGAGCTTTGTCTTGTCTTGGTACTTGTGCAAGTTTCACTCCCTTTGAGATGATCTTTGACATCTTTTCACTTTGTTGATGAAACCTGTAATCAAGCACAACTTGTGAGCCTTTTGGGACTATTTTGTACGAATTTCCAATCAAAACATAAGCAGGAAGGAGTATAAAATGCATCAAAGTCCCTAGTTATCAATGGCAGTGATAGCTTCTGAGGACCAGGTCCACTTTAGGAACTTTTCAAGATCATTTTTTACTCTTTATCAGTTTGGAGGTGCTTGTTTTTCTCAGTTTCAACACATATCCTAGTTCTCGCAGCTTTCAACTCATTTTCAAGCCTAATGTGTTCCTCACTAGCTATCTCTTTTCCCTTTCCAGAATTTCCAGGTTTTGACTTAGTCCCTGGTCTCTCTATTGTTTCCCTTAGGTCTGCAATTACTGCCAAGAAATCATTTCTTTCTTCTTTGAGGTTTTCAATGGTTTCCTTATGGTCAATAACTACAGCCGCAAAGTCATCTCTAGTTTATTCAGCTTCTCCTAGTTCTAAGGTCAAGAAATCCCTATCCTCCACAAGACTATGATAGGCATCAATCAGTACACTGGCTAAAGACATGAGTTTTTTTGGAGAGTAGGATTTCAAATTTCTCAGAAAATCCCTTAAATTTACCTCCTTGTTGTCATCGTCTTCATCATCATCTGATTGGGCCATCAAAGCAAAAGTTGAGTCATATTCATTTTCCTCGCCTTCAACAGCCATCATGGAGCTATCACCAGCATCAGTTTCATCTTCAGACTCACCAGAGGAATCTCCCCATGCTGCAAGAGCCTGTTTCACCACATTGTCAGCAGATCTCTTTCTTTTGAAGTCCTTGAGAGGCACCGTGTTCCTCTTAGCTGCTTTTTTAGATTTGTTCTTGGAGAATTCTTGCTTCAAGAGAGGACAGTCTTTGATGAAGTGTCCAGGCTTTCCACATTTATGACAGAGATCATAATTTTTTGGTTTGCTAGAGCTGCCCCTTTTTAGCATTTCTCCATTTCTTCTGACCATCTTCTGAAATCTTTTGGTTAGGTAATCCATGTCACTGTCTTCCTCACTTGAGTCATTGCTGTCAGCTTTGAGTACCAGGTTTTTTTCTTTCTCTGGTTCTCTTCTTCCACTGTCTATCTTCCTCTTCATCTCGTAAGTCTTCAGATTTCCAACCAGCTCTTCTATGGTCAGCTCCTGCAAGTCCTTTGATTCAGTAATAGTGTTCACTTTGCTTTCCCAAGGGCTAGGCAGAATACTGAGGATTTTCCTCACTAGCTTGTTTCTAGGAATGGTTTCACCAAGTGTGTGTAACTCATTTATGATGGAAGTGAATCTTGTGTGCATATCTTGAATAGATTCATCATCCTTCATCCTGAAGAGTTCATACTCGATAGTGAGCACATCGATCTTAGACTGTTTTACTTGGGTGGTTCCCTCATGAGCTGTTTGCAAAGCTTCCCATATCTCCTTAGCAGTGTCGCAAGCAGAGATTCTATTATATTCTTCAGGTCCTATTCCACATACCAGAATCTTCTTGGCATGAAAATTCTTCTCCACAGCTTTCCTGTCTGCGTCGGTGTATTCTTTACCGGTTTTTGACATTGAAAATGGAAGTTCTTCTAGTACCTTTGTTGGAACATACGGACCGTCACATATGACATCCCATAACTCAGAATCCTCAGCCATGATGAAATCATGCATTCTTGTTTTCCACCACCCATAGTATTGTCCATTGAACTTGGGTGGTCGGTATGTAGATTGACCTTCTTCGAAATTTGGTGGAGCAGCCATAAGGATCCTTCCTAGGTGTTAGCCTGATAGGAGGAACCCGCTCTGATACCAATTGTTAGTTTGTATGAGTCCACCAAACAGTAGAGTACCTGGTTCTCTATGAGGTTATTCTGAGAATGCCAATAAAGCAGTAAGTAAATGGGACACAGAATTTTTACGTGGAAAAATCCCAACTCAAGGGGACAAAAACCAAGACCTACACCTGTAGGCTTTCAACTTCACTAACTTGTAAACACCTATTACAAGCCACTTTGTAATGACTCTATTACAAAGAATTCAACACAACTAACTTGTGGTACTCTCACCACAAGCCACTTTGTCACTCTCTAGTTACAAAGAATTCAACTAACTTGTGATACTCTCACCACAAGTCACTTTGTCACTCTTCTAGTAACAAAGACTTCAACTAACTTGTGATACTCTCACCACAAGCCACTTTGTCACTCTTATAGTAACAAAGACTTTAACTTATGACTAAACCTAGTCACAACATAAACTCTAAGAGTTTACGGATTTTACAAGAGAGTTCCTAATCAATGCTTCTGGCTAAGGAGTTTAGGAGATACAATAAGAACAATAACAAAGTTACAACTCAACTAAGGACAACAAAATACTAACTTTAGGAACTGGTCCATAGTAGTGTTTAACTTTGTTCTTCAAGCTCGTGAGAATTAATTTCTCTATTTTGCAAAAGGCTTGAATGAGAAACAGAAATGTTCAAGTGATGTTTTAATATAAACTCATTATTGATACACCTTGATGACATCACTTGAAATGATGTAACCACTTTAGTTGGTCAAGGAATAAGTGGGCACTGCAAACAGTGCAGTGCAGAAAATAGTGCAGGCGGTCATATCGCTTCCAGCTGTGTCCAATTGACTTTGTACTGCTATGAGGGAACCACAAGGGTATCGGGTCCTTGTTTGGTTTCCTATCTCCTGAAGCTATAGCAGTTCACACTTAGCTGGAATCCGTTAACTTGCAGTATAGTCCAAGTGTGTCAGGTTCCCTATCCGGTCCTTGACAGTAAGTTTGTTAGATCATCAAAACATAAAGCAAAGACATTGAAAACCTATCACTGATTTCATAACTCGGTTCTATTTACTCCGTTTTGATTCTATAAATGATATATTGGACCGAGCACCTGTTTTACTGTTAGCCCGAGTGTCTTGAGAGGTTTCTGACTGAGTGAGGCCGAGGGCCTATGTTGTGAGGATATCATGGGATCGGGCTGCGCGCTGCAGCATGTCGTACTGATTTGTGATATATGATAGGACGGGGGCCTGATTTATTATGCCACGAGATGGCTTGTGATAGCGCTTGGGCTGTAGGAGCCTCTCCGGAGTATGAACACCCCCAGTGAGCGCGAGTACCCAGTGTGTGTGATGTGATGTTGCCCGAGGGGCTAATCTTGAATATGTTGTTGCCCGAGGGGCTGACTATGAGGTATTGTGAGTAGCTCGAGGGGCTGGTTCGGTTGATATTTTTGCCCGAGGGGCGGTTATGGTACATGTCTTGCCCGAGGGGCTGTTTACGTTCTTATTAGTTTTACACCACTGTTTCACCACTTATTTGAAACTATGGAAAGATGTTTTTAAAAGAAAAAGGTTTTACTGAAACTGAGTTGTTTTTTCGAGTTAATTGATTTATGTATTGTTTTGGAAATATACTATTTTGTTGTAGTGTTATGATGTGGAATCATCTATTTTCTTACTGCTCAGCTGCTTTTACTTTTATTACTTACTGACTTGGCGTACTTACATTACTCCCTGCACCTTGTGTGCAGATCCAGGAGTTGCGAGTCGCGATAGTGAGCATTGATTGTCCATTCAGCAGGATTTGGAGTCGACAAGGTAGCTGCATGGCGTTCGCAGCCCTGTTCTTCTCCCTCATATCTTCCCCAGATTTATTTAGTTCTGTCTTCCAGACTTTGTTAGACTTTATTGTATTGAGACAGAGTTATAGTTGCTCGTGACTTGTGACACCCCGATGTCGGGCTTGTGTTATATTTCCGCACTGGTTATCTAGACTTATATTATGAGATTTTGTTAATTAATGGCTTAGGAAAATGACTTTGATAGAGTAATGGTTTGATTTGGGAATTGTGTCGGCTGGCCTAGTTTCACGATAGGCGCCATCACGATCGGGTCGGTTTTAGGGTCGTGACACAGATTGAGAAGAATAAATTAATATTGAAATAGACAATTAAAGAATAAATGCAAACCACACAAATTGAACAGCCTTGGCCCTCGAGTTCGGTCACCCTTGAACCAAATATGTATCAACTGGCTTAAGAGCAGAATAACTAGACAATGATAACTAAAGAATGACAGTACATTGCTTTGTATTGCGTGATTATCCTCCGTTTACAAATGATTAGACTCCCCTTTATATAGTAGGGGAGTCCTACTCTAAGTACAATTCCATATAAGGTAAGAAATCCCATGATTGGCTAATTAATCGGCCTCTTCTTGATACGTGCCGGGATTCGCGCCGTGATCCTCGACCGATTGCGGATATTTCGTCTTTTCATTATTCTACTCGGTAAGCTTCCCTCGATCTCTATCTTTTTCGGTCTCGATCTTGATCTTAATCGGTCTCAGGGCCACGAGCTCGACAACCTAACTTTGCATCATGGTTCGATATAATACGAGGCTGAACTTTGGCTTATCGCGTTCCAGTCTCGATCAGTCATACAAAAAGGGCTAAATTTGACCGTATACAGATAGTCCCCTCGTTTCTTGGAGAGAAGATGACGAGAAACAATATGAATTTTTCCAATCCCGTCTCGATATGCTAGGACGTAAGCGACGAGCCCGATTATAACGTTAGCGACAAGTGGTTACCGAACGTCCCGTTGGTTCGGCTATCGAGGCATTAAATGCTTGTCAGTTGCTGGTCGGCCACCATCGGATCTGAATCGCCACCAGCAAGTTATAAGTGCCGCCACCTTCTTCCACTTAAAATTTACGCTCAGAATTTCTTTTCATTGCTGCTTCTCTTCTGAAATCTCTTTGCTTTGTAACTCTTGCTTCCATATCTCTCGAATCTTAAGCAAATCGCATATCATCCTACTTCCCTTCTCTTCTACTTTACAATGGCAAAAACTTCTAAAATCGTACCGCAAAATGAGACCGCCTCTTCTTCACGGCCCACCGGCGACGGAGCTGCAGCGGAACATCCCCTTGAGGATTTTGTTCCGTGAGGTTGCCCTACTGTCGCCGATTTTAGGATTGAAAAGACCTTCTTCGTACCTGGTCGATGCGAACCGGTTTGAGGTACATATGCACAATAACCGATGATCTCCTTGACAAAGTTAAAGAGGAGTGTCACTGGGTCAATAAACATGTTGTGGTACCTTTGCCTGAGGAGTCGATCACTACCCATGCGGAGGGTTTCCTAAGTGTTTACACTTACCCTTTCACGTTGGGTCCCTTAGACCCTATCATCGTCTCCTTCTGCAAAAGGTATGACGTGACCCTCAGCCAGATCCATCCTTCTTTCTAGAAAATAGTGATCCTCCTCCGATTCTTCGTGAGCAATATCGAGGGATGTCCTTTCCCCCTCGATCACCTTATGCGCCTTTACAGTCCCCGACTCTATCGATGAGGGTTGATCAAGCTTGTCCGTCGGGCTATTAAGGCCCTGTTTTCGAGCATAGACGAATCTCGCGACCAAGGTTGGATGGGCCGATTCATCCGAATAAGGACTTGGGACCTAATCCTTGATGAAGACATGTCGTTTCCTGAGAAATGGAACATGAACCATGAGTAGCACTTTGCCTTTTCAATTTTGTTGTTTTTACTTATTATCTCCTTTCCTCATCTATATATTTTGGTGTTGCAGCTATGACCCAGGCGCCAGAGGTAATCCCCGATCTCAAGCAATGGTTCGAGAGCCTAGTATCGTAGAGACCGTACTCCGAGCATGGTTGGATGGAATTATCAAAGGGTCGATGGGAGGCCCGCAATCATGGTAAGCTTCTTTCTTTGAATGGTTATCATTAGGGCCACTTTCTCGAGCTTATTCGTCTTTTTTCCTTTATAGGCCTTGGGAATGATGTGGAAATGAGGCCCCCATCTGAAGAAGAAATCCTTTCCCAACACCTGCTCCGAAGCAGGCCAAGGAGAAGAAGAGAAAAAGGGCTCCGAGTTCCCCGAACTCGGAAAAGCCAAAGAAAAGGCAAGCCCGTAAACCCAAGGGGGTTACCATCGCTCTATCTTTGGACTTAGTCCGTCGGCTAAGGGACGAGTCCGAAAATGAAGAAGAAGAGGAATCAAATCTGGTAGCCCGTGTGCGGGCTGGTGCTTCGATACAAAAGCCCTCCACATCGGAGGAGGTTAACGAGGGAGCTTCGTTGAGGTTCCCGAACCAAAAAGAGTTGAGGCTACTCCATCCCAGGCTGAGATGGTCAAGAGAGAGATCGCGGGCGAGGCTTCCCGAATGGCGGAAGATGTTCCAAGGGACGAACTTGGTGTGATCGATATTTTTGGGTCCCCTCAGATTTCGTACGCCACGATCCTGAGGTTAATATGTTGGAAGGTCGCCTTTGCGAGGGTCCTCAGAGAATGGTCGATATCCATGTCTTCTTGGATGGGGTTGAGTTCGATGCCTTGGAAGATGTCACCGGGCTTGGTGACTTACCGGTGCCGAAGAAAACATCATCCCTGGGAGCTACTGGGTCTTCGTCGATCCCAAAACTGGTGGACCGATTCCCAGCCCCAAGTGTTAACCCCGATCGTAGGCGGAATATTAGTGTTTTCTGTACCGGACGATGCCCGGTTCTTCTCTCCCCCTATGGGGATTTCCAG